TAACTATTTGTTTGAAATAGTGTGGAACATCAACATCTTGATTGTCATTATTTTTCTTCGATTTACATGTTCTATTCATTTTAGTTGTTGCAGTTGTTGAAAGTCCTCAAGTAATGTGGTTTTTGTTACCAGTCCAAAAGGTTTGAAGAAGGAAGTTTCTCATTTAGGCCTACAAGCTTTATTTACAAAAAAGCTATTTTAACCAGCAATTTAAGAAAGCCATTGTATAAAACTGACAGTTTAGATATTTCTGAACAAGTTAGGTGCCATGCATGACATCTATATGAAAGTCTGATGAAGCTACTTCAGAACATGACTTTTTAGGTTAATGTTTTGGCTTTGTAGCAATAAAAGACACCTATCAAAATATGTAAAATTTTTAGAATTTTGCCAAAAATGTGCTCAATAGAGCAACAATCTACAATAAACATTCAATAGACTCATCTAATTGACAGATGCCAAGGTTTTGCATAAAGAAAGCCACCATAAAATTGTCTAGACACTGATAGGATGCTTTGTGGTCATTGATGCCAATTTCTATTTCATATATCTATAAAATGCTCATGTTTACAGCAGGCACAGGTTTAATTAGAATATATTATACTAATGAATATTCACACACACAAAGATACCAATTCTTTTTATAGTAGCAGGAGTTACTATAAAATAATTTCCTGTAGGATGTGTGGTTTGGTATAACAGATAGTACCTCGGAATGAGAAATCAGAGCCAAATTTGAATTCCAATTAGGTTTGTTACATTAAGTTATGCACAAATACCTTTGGAAAAGGTATTAATCCATCCCTTTCTCCCTAGATATGAGTTAAAGAGCAGGAATAGCCTTGTTTGGCAACCAGTCGACCACAGAAAGAAACTGTAGCTTTCTGAATCAATCATTACTCGAAAGAGGTATGATCACCCAAATGTGTATCATGTATGGCCCTTGAGTAGCTGACTCCCTGAGAAAAGGCATGAAACTCAGACCCTGGCTATTATATACATACATATCTAAACAGAATCCAAATTAAACATAAAAATAGCCCATTTTAATTTCTTAAAATAATTTTTTTTTTTTTTTTTTTTCCTGACCAACAGTGGTTGGCTTTTAATAAATGAGCAGATAAACATACACAAGAACCCCACCATATAAGTACCTCTTTTTAAACTAGTAAATCAAATGAAAAATGGAGAGTTAAGGGAGAAATTTACATATGTCTATGAGGGTGGATTGGATAGTTCATAGACCGATTCATAAAGTGATTCTAGATTTTTGATATCTTGCATGCATTAATTTCAACTCTTCTTATTGATAACATCATTGTTTCTTTCTGGGTAAACTGACATCTGACTGTTCAAAGAAGACTGTTCATACTGTTGGTCAAAATAGTCATCAACAGCAGATATGATGTCATCATCACTGTGATACCAGTTTCCAGCCAAGTGCTTTTTCTTGTTGGAGAACAGATGACAGTCAAATCAGGAGAATAGGGAGAGTGATTAACCAGTTCAAAGCCACAGTCATGCACAAAAGACATTAAAAGCAAGGACTTGTATGCTGAAACAAGATCGCTTTTGTCAGTTTTTCTGGGTGTTTATTCTTGATAGCCTTTTGTAACTGCCTCAGAAAGTTGGCATAATAATTTCCATTGATGGTGTGGTCCTTTTGAAGCTAGTCAATAAACAATGCCTCTTGTATCCTAAAAAACTCAAATCCTTACCTGCTGATGAAATGACTTTGGCCTTCTTCGAAGCACTTGAGGAGTGCTATTTCCACTGCATGAATTGTCTCTGGCTAAAAGTGATGAACCCAATACTCACCCTGAATTAGGGAACATTTGAGAAAACCAGATGAATCTGCCTCAATGTCATATTTTCCGTGTTTATCAGCTGGTACACTTTTGATCAGGTGTCAGAAGATGTAGAACCCACATAGAAACATTCATCATGCCAAATTCATTGTGCAGAATATTCTCAACTCTTTCATGGGACATGCTAATAGCATTGGCTATTTGATTTATAAATAATCACTGGTCATCCATGTGGTGAACATGATATAGTTTTACCTTGGTGGTGACAATTGCAGGATGTCCAGACCTTGGACCATCTTCAAAATTCTCTCTTCTCCTTTTGCACTGTTGATAAAACTGGAGTGTCATCCCTTAATATAGCAATCATATCAATAGGAATTAAACCCTTTTTTCTGCAGGTAAACCTCTGGGAAATTCACTCGTGCTTTCTTGGGCTCACATTCTCTGCTGATATAAACTGGAAAGATTATATTGGATCTCTTGCTAGGTCAGCTGCTAAGAAAGTTGGTTCACTATGCTGGATGAGACAATTTTTTTCTCTCCAGAATCTATCTTACAGATCTATAACTACCATTCACCAATGCTTAGAATATTGCTGCCATATATGGTCTGGTGCCACTGTTATTTACCTTGAGTCCCTTAATAAGATCCAAAGAAGAATCAGAAATATTATTGGGCCTGATCTGACAGCTTGGCTCCAGTCACTTTCTCACCACCATAAGGTTGCCTATGTCTTTCCTATAAATACTTTCATGGTAATTGTTTGGATGAGCTCTTTGCTATGGTACTTAGAGTTTTTGAATTTAAGTGCAGTATTAGACTGGCATTGAGATCTCATCAATTTACAGTTGAGCTGGCTAGAAGTAGCCATAAATTCTATGCTAACAGTTTTTCTCATACTTCTCATTTGTGAAACACCCTTCCAGCTCCATGCTTTCCAGCCAACTTTAAACTGCAAAAATTTAAATGCAATGTCAATTGCTATCTACTGTCCTCCTGATTACTCTCTTCTCTTTCTGCTCATCATTATTGTTTCTGTTCCTAGTTCTTCCACATCCTGTAACCTCTTGTGTTTAATGGCTTTACTGCCTTGCACGAGGCGATACAGATTTAAGAGAAAAAAAAAGGTATTTGATAATTCCATGATGCCAAATTACTAAAGACTGATTTGTTTTTTATGGTTTATCAACCCTTTGTAGGTTATTTAAAAGGTAGAAAATATTTTCAGATTGTAAGAATTTTTTTTCAAGATAATGATTTAGTGATACAAGTCTTACTAATTAACCCATAGTTGGGATGTTAGAATAAGTGGATTCATGCATTTCCCAACGGTATTTGTGCAAATGAATATAATGAAGCCAACTGAAGTTACAAAACTTTTCTCTCCTATTAACAATTCTGAACCATTATCCATTACATCACCTGCATATCAAGGCTTACATCACCTATCTTGGTACTGACCAGTCTCAATATTGCTTAACTTTGGTGACCGGATGGGAACTGGTGTTTAAATGTGATATGGCTGTAAGCCCTTGTTTACGTAAAGGTAATTCCCTGAAGAATGCTCACTAATCCCGACTTCTAGGATCATAATCTGTGTCATGTCAAAGAGGCTCCAAATTTGACTACCTTTTCACCTTGGATTTGTTATATTAACAATAACCAGAGATTTGTTGTTTTTCTCTTTTCCCAATAGTTATGGACATATGTGTAGCATAGCAATTATCAATACAGAAAAGAGGTTTCTGTGTTTATATTCTGGCTTCATCTGTTGCATTCATTTCTTACTGTTGCCCTTTGAAAATGGATTATTCTAACTCTCCTCACCTGCCTATTAGGAGTTACAAAGGGTCAGGGTGACCTCATATATCCTGTAACACATACCATATATACTCGTGGATAGGTTGCACTTTTTTTACCAAAAATTTCACAAAATATTAGGGGTGCAACCTATCTGCTTGACATAAATGTAAAACAACACTACCTTGTCATTATGATTTTTGAGAAATTGGAAATGATACCCATAAACACTAAAACTGAATTCAGTTCTGAATGAATTTTAACTGTAACTTGATATATAAATAGATTTTTTTTTTTTAAGCATTACGCCCCGAGCAAGGTGTGAAGCCACTAGGATGCAGGAGGTTGCAGAAGATTTGGATCAAGAGCAGATAGGAGTGATAGAAGAAAGGATGAGGAGAGGGATAGTGGATAGATCAAGGTAACTGGAGATGTCGATTGACATTACATTTGAATAGTTGGAGATTATAGCTTTCAGGGAAACAGTAATTGGGAAGGGTGTTCCACAGGCGAGAGGTGCGAGGTATGAAGCTATTGGAGTAGAAGAGACGGCTACATTTAAAAGTTTCTACAGTGTAAGGGTGGGAGCGGGATGCCAGCCTCATAGGGCGTTTGAATTCATGGAGTCTGGGAACCAGTGAAAGCAGCATTGGAGCAATTACCATGAAAGTATTTGTAGAAAAGACAGAGAGAGGCGATGGCGCATCTGTGAGAGAGTGACTGTAGATGAGATGCCAGACTTTTTTCTTAATGTACCATAACATTTTCTTCTGGAGTTCTTTTTTTTTTTTTTTTGTCGAGTTGACTTGATATAAAAATAATATGTGGTAAATATGAAAATACCAATACAACATTTACTTCCTTTCGTTTACATGATGATTGACGAAATGTATTTTAACTGCAAAAGTGTATTAATAATTGTAAGTTTCGAAATAAAGCTAGAAATAAAAGTAGGTATCTGATAATTCTTATGTTTAAAAGGGGGGCTGTGTAACTCCCCCAGATTATAGTGCAACCTATCTGCAAGTCAATAGTAAATCATCAATTATTAAGCCATAAAATAGGGGGGGGGCAACCTATCCGTTAGTATATACGGTAATTATGCAGAACTTGAGCACTTTAATGTGGTGTAATGGTTAGCAAGCTTGTCTCGCTAGAACAATAATGATTGATTAGTGAGTTTGATCCACCCTGGGTACCCCCAAACTTTTGGCTTTGTGCCACATCTAAGAAAATTACCACACTTATGCAGGTTTCAAAATTTACCTCACAACAAGGAATTAAACAGTTTATTTTTTTTATACATAAAAAAGCAGGAATATTTGCTATCTCTACCAAAGGTTTTTGCACATTCCAAGCTGTTATCCATTATATCACCTGCACATCTACATTTGCAGCACCTGGTATTTCCAAGCAGTCACCCATCTCAGTACTGGCCAGGTTCAATGTTACTTAACTTTGGTAATCAGACAAGAACCAGTGTTTCAAGATGATATAACTTCTCAGTCATGGGTTAAATAGCAAAACAGCCTCCTATAGCCTTGGTTTGCAACCAGTTTATTGCAGAAAATAATGGCAGCCTACTACAGGTATTCTTCTGCCAAGTCAATCAATTAATCAAAAAAAGATAATTATTCAAGTGTGCTTCATGTATGGCACCTAAGGAAGGAATCCTATACCAAGAACTTTGAGATATATAATTTTGTTCTTACAATAGTCTCCTCTTACCTATGAAGGATATGTCCCAAGATCCCAAGCTCATACGTGAAATGGAATGGTACTGAACTTTATATGTACTATTTTTTTGCTGTATATACACATGATAAAGGGTAATTTAAGAAGCACAGGAGATGATTAATAATAATAGTAATAAATAGAAAAAGACATTTTTGTTTTCATGATTTTGGAAACACCAAATTTTAGTTACTATAACTATATGCTAAACGCCCATATTTAAAGTATTGCTCAGTTATTGCTAGTTCCATTTCTATTGGGCCTGAATCTATACTACCCTCATAATTAAAATGCCACCAAATCCATGAACCAATGCATTAATATCCTAAAGCTATTGATTCCTCTTCATTGTAAATCTTACCAACTCAGCATACAGCTTTTTCCTTTTGCTCAATTTGAAAACTAACTTTCACTGAAAACTAACTTTCACTGAAAACTAACTTTCACTGAAAACTAACTTTCACTGAAAACTAACTTTCACTGAAAACTAACTTTCACTGAAAACTAACTTTCACTGAAAACTAACTTTCACTGAAAACTAACTTTCACTGAAAACTAACTTTCACTGAAAACTAACTTTCACTGAAAACTAACTTTCACTGAAAACTAACTTTCACTGAAAACTAACTTTCACTGAAAACTAACTTTCACTGAAAACACTTCACAAATTGCCAGAAACACTAGTCACACTTTGGGATCATTAAGTAAAACTTATGTAAAGAAAAATGAACCAAAAGGTAAGAGACTTTGAATAGTGTACACCTGGTGTAAACTTTTTTTCCCTTCAGTTTGCTCCATTGAAGCTAAGTGATGTTAAACATCAGATGGGTTGTGTCTTCTTGATAAATTAGCTGTTTGGGGAGTTTTATGGCATTATTGGCACATTTGAATAGCAGTGCTTTGGATATGTGAAAGTGGAACCTTGAATGAAAGGCAGTTGTCATTGTATGGTATTACTGACAGTATGCATACAGAAAGTTGGAAGACATAGTGATTAATGGATGATGAAACTGTCACTTTAAGAACTCTGCTAGTGTGTACATTTGTAACTAAAGTAAATTGCTTACTTCTGTTGGTTGTTGTTTTCCAAGTTTAGTATTTAAATGTTTATTTTCAAACTAAGTAGACCTTACCTGAAATTTGAACTCAGTGTGCCAAATTTAAAAATTCCAGGATAAACTGCTGCTTTCACTTTTACACAAATGTTCTTTGGAAAGATATGAATCTATCACTACTCCCCTCAGTTATGGGTTAAATAGTCGAGTATACTTGGCTCTGTAGCCTTGAGCAGCAATCCATCTAAGAGAAGGAAAATTAAATTCTGAACTGGATAAAGCAATGGGGAACTACTCCACTATCATTCTCAAGTTGTAGCGATGAAGGAAAAAAAAAACAAGTCTTACCTCAAAAAGAATTTGTATTCTCTGTACTATCTGTACAAAAAGAATCAGAATAAGATCAGGTTGACTTTAGTAGGCCTTGAAATATGGTAATTGTTTGCACTTCCCTACCAGTAGAGACTAATCACAACCTTTCTTAACCCAATAAAAGAACATTACTTTGAATCACAGGCAAACTGCTTGGCATGTCGTTGGTGAAGAAGGGAGTTGTGTGTTGCAAGTTGTGGATTTTTTACCATTTTTATTCCCCCCCCAATTTTCTGTCATTGGACTTGTGAGATTGATTTATGATTCTTGGAATTACGGCCTGAGACATATTATTGCTATTTACCTCAAAAGCAGACATAAAAATCCATATGAAAAAAAGGATGGGAATCTGGAGAGCTATGTCCTAGGCAGACATAGTGCAAAATAAATAAAAGAAGACAGATCCTTTTAATTGAAAATACACAAAGGTAAATTTGTATGCATGGACATGTGACTCTAGTGCATAATATTGAGCAAGACAAGGAGGGTGCACACTTCTGTCCCCAAAATAATGGCTTGGAGACAATGGAAATCCTTTATGGACAAAAAGGTAAAAGTTAAAATAACATTTGTTGAGGCTAAGTTTTCTCAATGGTGTGAGCAAAAAAAAAAAAAAAAAAAAATGCCAATAAACACAATCAGCTTTGTTGTGGTTCAATAAAGTCAAATATAAAACCCTCCCCAAATTCTAAAAAAAAAATTATCAATAAATAATTTATTTAATTTGAAATGATTAAACTAGTCTTTATATAACCATACATAAACAATTTTTAAAGGAATCTATAAATTATTCTTTCTTTTAGAAATACTATTACCTAGCCAGGGGTAACAGTTTTTATATTTCCGACATTGTAGTATTTACTGTATACATTTATACTTTCATTACAGAGTTGAAACAATATCAAGTGAATTTTTACAAAGCTTGGTTACTAACCTGATGCACATGATAGGAATAACAGAAGTTTAAACAGAAGGCACTTTTCTGCATTTAATTATGATTTTTGATCATATTTTAACATCAACAATTGTGAGAAATGTATGACTACACTAGACACAAAGCCAGCTACCTGGATATATAAAAATAAAAAGGAGAGAAATCAAGTAAAATCCTGTTGTTAAGGTGATTGGAATGAGGGATTTAGTAAAGGAAAAAAACCTGAAAAAGACTAACTCCTTAATGTAGATTACTTAGATGGACTATAGAAAAGACATTTGCACACAGTGTTTGCCATGAATTTATTTTTTATTGGATGATTAAGTTTCCGTTTGTTGAGGAAGAGAAAAAAAAAAGTTTTTTTGTGTGTTCCTCCTTTTGTGTATACCTTCACCTGCCTTTTTATCTCCTGTAATGTCTGTGTGCATCTTACTTTTCCTTTGCCTATGTGAAAGTAAGTGAGAAAGACAGAGAGCAAAAGACATGATTCTGACTAAAAACGTAAGAAAAGAGCTCAGACAGCAGCTCTTTCCAGAAATGCAATACAAACACCTATTTCCCAAACATCTACAAGTAGCAATATGGCATACAAATTAAATAAAAGGAAAAAAAAAAAATCATTTTACAAGTATTTTTAAAAGATTTACTATCTCTCACCCTTGCCCACAGGTTTTGACATTCCTTTCCTGCAACATTTCATTTCTATTTTTATTGAAAATGCAAAGAAACTGCACCCTCAGCCCAACTTTCAATCTGCTTTAAACCAACCTCCACCTGCAACCAAAATTGTACTGTCATGGATATGTACAACGAATACTTCCTCTACTTGATCAAACAAGATCTCCCCCACCTACGACTGAATACAATTCCACACCCCACCAACTACAAGTGGATCATGTCAACTGTATTGACTTTATTAAAATGAAAGCACACATGTATGAAAGTGACATTTTACAAGATGCTTACTAAATATAAAAGGTTGAGTGATGGATTTGTTTTTATGATTTATCAAACTTTTGTAAGTTATTTAAAGCCGATTTTTGAATTGTAAGAACTTTTTTTTTTGCAAGTGCATATTGCATTAACAAATTTTTTTAGGTAACAATTTTCAAATACAAGTCCTACCATTTAACCCATACCTGGAGGGAGAAAAGTGGATTCATACTTTTCCCAAGGGCATTTGCATGTAAGTGAATGTAATGAATCCAACTGGAATTCAAATAATAAAGATGAGGATACCTTCTTTGAATAAATCAGGAAAAAACAGACAATGCTAATTTACTAAGAATAAAACTTTGCAGTATGCTTTATTTTAAATGTCAATTAAAAATTGGTAAATTAAAGTTTCAGATGTGTATCCTGTTTAGTCCAGTTTAAGTTCTAAAGAAAATGGGAACTAGAAAGACACTCATACTTAAAGCCAAAAAGAAACAGTTTCTGTGGCACATCAGGAAAGAAGGCTTGACAAACTTAATACTCACAGGAGTAGATAGAAACAACAGCCTAAATAATGAGTTTGCATGAATTGATGGTAGAGCAGAGACAAGGAGGGGTTATATAGAGTTAAATGTTGCTTAGAACCACAAGAGACAGGAAGTTGTAGAAAGCCATGATCACCAATGTCATGAATGGATGGTTATTGTTTTTTTTGTTTTGTTTTTTAAATGGGGGCTTAACTTTACAAAAATCTTTGTATTAGAATACTATGTCATTCTTATAGCAACCAGTTTGGGAATTCCCAAAATGTAAAAACATGAAAAATAAGTGTATATCAAGTTACACTCTTTTAGTATCACATTAACTTAAGTCAGATTAATTTCCTCTACAAAAAACAAAAAAAAACCCCAAAAAACAACAACAACAACAACATTGTTTAGAAATGCACAAGATGATTGTGGCCACATCATTAATGATATTACCCTGGGCTCCTTAGGAGTTTTTATGTTTATCCAGCACCAGACTCTTTCACTCAGGTTACCCTGCTGGTGGTGATCAAATACCAACATGTGAATGCCACAATGAACCATGTGAAAATATCAATAACAGAATGCAAATGGCTTTAAAAGAGATTTTGGAACCGTGAAAAACCACAAATTAGCTTTTCTTCAATCAAATTCATTTGCAGACACTCCAACACCTCCTCCCACATCAGAGTGGGAGAATCCAAAATCCAGGCTTCCCCAATCCATAAATGGAGTGGACAAACCCACCAATGGTGTCAAGGAAATAACTAACCTTTCCACACACCGTTTTTTTTGTGGGCATGAAAGTTAAAACTTGCCAAATGTTTATAGATACGTAAATATCACAAATAGCAATAAATATATGATTAATTCCTTCCTTCTTTAGGTACTATGTGTGATACATGCTTGGCAGTCAGGTCTCAATTCATTGCCAGAA